AGCGTGCCCTGCCGCTCTCAGGGGTCGGGGCGGCGGCTGGAGGGTCGTGCGGTCCCCTCGCCGCGGGCTGGGGGAGCCTGCAGAGCCTCCCCTGGAGTCCCCTCCCGCCGCTGCTCTGGCGGCAGAGGAGTTCCGCGCACTTTTGTCAAAATACTTGTGCTACCTGTGCTGCAAAGGAGGAGGAAAAACCCAAACTGTACCAACTCGCTCTTCAAATAGCTAAATCAGTTGTGGTTTGCAGTTTAAAAAGCCCCAGGCTTATTGGAGAAATGTATTCAATCCTTCTCCATTTTTATTCTGTCCTGATCTGTTTTTTCCACTTCCTGTATTTTGTGGGGTTCAGAACTGGTTTGCATTTCATCTCAACATAAAAAAATTAGTATTTTACAGTGAGTGATCATTCACTGGAACAATCTCCCCGTGGACATGGTAGAGTCCTCATCACTGGAGGCTTCCTGAACTGGACAGAGTGCAAAGTAATCTCATCAGGGCTCCCTTTCCCATGAAACGGTTGGATGAGGTGATCTTTGAGGCCTCTTACAGCTTGGCTAGAACTACGATTCTAAGATTTTAACATGTACTAATGTGATTTGAAAGGTTGTTTTTATTTAGAGGGTTAACAAGAAGACTGACCTGGAGAGTGGATGAGTATTTCTGTTTAACATACTTGGAAGGGAAGAGGATGTAGATGAGTAGTTCTGCTTGAATAGAGTAGGTAGCAGAAGTGTAAGATGATACTGAATTACCATTTACCATAAAGAAAATGGTGAAGCTAAATCTTACAGTTACTTGGGGTTTAGGCTGTAGCTTGGAGAAGTTTTTCAGAAGTGACATCTAAAAAACAACTCAGAATAACCACAGATATTTGACAAAAATAAGTTCCAAAAAAAAGATGTTTGCTGTTGTGGAGGGAAAAAAACGCCACCAAACAAACTGAAAAAAGCTCAACATTAAAAGTCTTTGGATGTATTGAAGAATATTATTAGAACATCCATTTGGGGTTTTTTGTGTATTAACTTAGTTGCTTTCGTTGTCTAGTTTATAGTTCAGCTCTATGTACATTCAGAGCTTCTGAATAGTATGTAACACATTCTGTAGGCATGATTTAGTATCTGGTAAAGTAATAGTGATGCCACATGTGTGGCCTTTTTTAAAAGTACTGAATTGAATAGGTAGATTGTGCTTAGTAATGTATGGACTGGTAAGTCCCATAGTTCAGTGCAACATTTTGCTCACCTAGGAGCTTGGATATACAGGGAGCATACCACTTCTGTACAGTCTTAGGTGTGGTCTTTTGGCTGATGTACTTAATATTTCTAATGTGGGACATGATACTATATAAAAAGTGGAGTGTAATTAGTGCTTCTGCACTCGATTAGACTTGTGTCCAGTTGGAATGGCATTTCTGTATGGTGTCCTCAGGACTTTTTGATTTGTTAGGCTTCCTGGAGAGCATGCTTTGGATTTCTTTACCTAGATGTGCTGTAACTGAAAGGTCATACTCTCTGAATGTGAACTCTTTAATGACTGGTTTTGTCATTTTAGGCTGAAAAGTAGGTTACTGTGTGGAGACCAAAAGCACCTTTGATTCATCCAAACTGTCATCATTAGCACGAAGAAATGTGAAAGTTCCCAGTGCAGTTAGAAATAATTTAGTGGTATGGTAAGGGCCTTTAGAGTCAAAATAAGTAGAAAATGCATGCTTGAGTGTTTGTGAGGACAAGGTTGTTGGCTTTTCTAAGTAACTGCTGCTGATGTCCATAATCTGGAGTTTCTGGTGCTAGTTGTTACTGGGCTGTCTTCTCAAATAGCTGTGTTACAGGAGTAACTTATTTTGTGTGTTTGTGTGTCTGAGTGAGAAGTGATGTCGGAATGATAAAAAGCCAACAAAGAGATAAGTTTCCACACTGTTGAAAATGCTTTGGTTTTCTTTGCTTTCCTGGTGTGAGGGTGAGTTCTGTAGGAGAATCCATTCGTACGTTGTCGCCTGGTTCCAACCAGTGCTTCTGTGTGGTGGGTTAGCCCTGGCTGAGCACCAGGTGCCTACCGAGCCGTTCTGTCACCCTCCCCTTTTCCTCTCCTTCCTCTGCAGAGCAAAAGTGAAACAGAAAATAAGGTGGAGACAGAACCACTTGTGTTTAAAACAAAGGCAGGTTAACTGAAAAGGAAAGCCAAGCAAGGCAACGCGTGGAAGCAAAGAGGAAAAAAACCCAAAGATCTGTTCTCTCCTTCCCGTCCCCAGGCCATGTCTGCCCTTCCCTGGGCAGCAGGGCTCCAGACCGCCGAGTGGTTGCTCCGGAGGACCAAGGAGTAGCCTCCCCCCCACCTTTTGTACCAGCTTTAGAGTTCAGCTGACATCATATGGTCAGTTTGAGCCAGCTGTCCTGGTTATGTTCCCCCCAAACTCCTGCCCCCCCATCCCACTGTGGGGGGAATGTTAGAAAGAGCCTTGGTGCTGTGGGAGCCCTGCTCAGGGGCAGTCACACCATGGGTGTTACCAACACCCTTCTAACTCCCAACACAAAAGCCCTGCACCAGGAGGGCTGCAATGGGAAGATCAGCTCAGCCAGACCAAATACATTCTGTCATCAGTGTAAATCACCAGAAATAATGTTTGGAGTGAGAGGTGATCCGTGACAGAAGTGACTCTGCTGGTGAAGTGCCTGCAATGTTCAGTGTCAGACCCCACTTGTTTTTGAGGGTCAAAAGCTGTACTTTGCTTCTTGGCGTGATATGGACCGATCTTAATATGTGGGTTACCTGATTTCCTTCCCATGTGGCCTACCTATAGCCATGAGTATTTAGTAATGACAACTGCTTTTTGAATGACTTTAAATCTTGGGAGGGTGTTGGAGATAGTTAAAATCGTCTGTTGCCTGACACTTTCTTCAGAGACCTCCAAGGTTCTAGGTTTCTATGCTGTACCTGTATGTTGATTTGCATATGCTGGCAAGAACTTGTGCTACTGCTAAAAGAAGCTATTGTGGCCACTGAAGTCCTAGTTACCATAACCTAGTTACCATAAACATTTCATGGACATCTGTGAAACAGAACAAGACACTGATCTGAATTAGAACAGCGGAAGGACTTGCCTCAGTTTTTTTTCTTCTCTGGCTGGGTGGGACAGAGTTTTAGGAGCTGCCTTGTACTGATATTTATGCAAGTTTAAAGCTTGTATCTTAGCTACCTTCATGCTTGGTAGGTTCTGAGTAGAAATCTGATTAGAAGTCAGCTTAAAATAGAGTTACTGTATTGTAGCAATGTGCTGTAGTGGCTTTGGAATACTTAGTATCTTCTAGTAAAGAGAAGAACTTTTCTCACTAATAAGAACACTGGAGATGCCCTTTCCAGGTGTGTGCATTGAGTTATTGTAATTTTGGTTGTGCAAAAGTCATAAACTTTTCTCATAGACAGTAAAATACAATTATTCAAATCTGTATTCCCAGTGATTCCCCTAACAAGGGATTGCTTAATGCTTGTTTCCGTTGTACAACAATATTTCCTGCAAACCTTGTGCTCTGTAAGTCTTTTGTTGCGCTTTTGTGCTTGGCATAAATTGAAACAGTTTCTTATGCTCAATAATGTCATGTAATGTGGTCTTTCATCACATTACAGTTCTTTGGGTGTGTTATCCCCACACAACCGTTTTGACACTGCGCGTTGACTTCCAAATTCCTCATACGGCAGTGCTTCCTGAAGTCTAGCAGACCTTTGTACAGATAAACTGAGAATTATGGGAAGGTCTTTGGAATATAGAATCTTCTGTGCACAAGGCTTCACGTTGAAGGCATTTGAAAGTCCTGTTTCCTTGCCACTAAGAAACAGGCTCCTTGAATTTGATACAGTGGCAGGTGCTTTGTACTTCAAGCTCTGATATTTAAGCTTTGTGGGTGAGAAATGAATGACAGGTAAACAGTCACACCAGTTAGGAAGTTTTCTTCTGGTATGTCTCTTAGTTGACCGAGTTTGGTACTGTGTTTTTCTGGGGACTTCCAAAGTGCAATTTCTTGGTGTTTTTTGTTTTGTTGGGTTTTTTTTTTTTTTTTTTTTTTATTATTTTTTTATGTTGGTTTTTTTTAAATGTGTCTTTACAGGAACTGACAACAGCTTTGGAAAAAAATCCGGATGATGCCGAATCTTATTGTCAACGAGCTTATGCTTATATCCTTCTACAGAAATATGCTGGTAACATCCTCATACAGCACTGAGGATCCTCTTACTAGTGTATTAGAACACATTCTTTACAGAAAATGTCTTCAATCTGAAGCAAAACATAGTAATAAGAGAAAGTGTTATCTGTAACTTAATATGCTGCTTTTACAGTTAGTGCATAATTTTACAGTTTTCTTTGTTTCTGAAAAACTTCCAGTGAATTGGGTACTCTGCAGCCCCAGCTTTCCATTCGATTTTAGCCTAGTGTTATCTTCGTAGCTTTTTTTTAAGTAGACTTCTTAGGCAGATTTTAAGCTTTGTGTTGTGAGCATCTTCCATCCTTAGGCTTTTTGTAGAGACTGAATTCTGTCATGGTAGGAATGTGATAACTGAATAATGCCTGGGAAAAGATAAACTGAGTAAGATTGGATCTAATTTTTTTCTTTCCAGTGAAAAAAGCAAACAAAGAGATTCATACTTGAGTAGAGGATTTGGCTAAGTGGAAGTCGTGTTGCATCTTGCAGATATATCTGCAGCTGAGCCCAGGGTTCGTCCACAGCAGTTGTGGCTAAGTGCAACTCAAATGGTGTCATTTGTGTGCAAGCTAAGAAAGCTAACATAGAACACCATAAAAAAATTCAGTGCCAAGAGACTCACATTTCAGTATTTATTTTTTTTTTTTATAACATATTATTATGTTCTTCACCTTTAAACTGTTTCCAACAGATGCAGTTGCAGATGCAAAGAAGTCCCTAGAACTCAACCCCCGTAACGCCGTGGCGCTCCTTAGGAAAGGGTGTGTATCCTCGGCTGCACTGTGTGAATGTTGTGAGAGCCTGCAGGGCAATGCTAGTATTTAGGTTATACCTCTGCACAAGCCTTTTCCAACACCATTAATTAATAAATTTAATGCTGTGCTGCTTCTAACCCACTTGTAATAAAGCTGTGCTTACAAGCAGTTTAATTTGGGGTGATGATCTTAACACCCTGGCCGTTTCAAAAACACACCTCTTAGGTGATTGGAATTCTTACACGTGTAATTTTAATGGGTATGGTGTGTGAACTAAGTATGTTATGATCTACAAAATGTGGATTAGGCTGAGAAGTAATCGCTCTTTCCTTGGTTTCTTTCTTTGTTCATGTCAGGTTAGGTGAATATCATATCAAAAACTATGAGTCTGCTTTAGAGTCTTTCAGAGAAGGCCAGAGACTGGACAGTAAGTATAAACATTTCTTGTGTGCACAGTACTCCTTTGCTAATGAGAAAAAAAAATTCTAATGTGTTAGTTGAAGGATTTCTCCCTTTCTTTTTTAAAGGCTAATGAGTTAGGTACCTGACTTCAGATGTCTGGATTTTGGGAAGGTTTGTGTAATCACTGCATAAGAGTATGAAACTGCTTAAAAATGTCTAAGTTCTTAGCAAGTAGTATTTGATTTATTGATGATTTTTTTTTTTTAATAAAATAGGGAATATTTTCCTGCTTCCCAGAGGTCTTACAGATAAATGGTGGCAATAGTGTGGCATTAAGTGTCATAGAAAAGTTTCTGAACAGGGCTGGCTTCTTGTACGTAGCTGGAATTTCTTACTTCTTAAACCATTTGATAGACTGGTGTTTAGAAGTAACATGCAACTAGATGAGTATTCATAATGGATTTTTTCCTCACATTTTTAATTACATAAGCATATTTATTTCTTTTTTTTCTTAAGGTGTTCCCAGCTTGACTTAGGCATCTTTTAATTTGGGTGGAGAATTAGAACTTTCATAAAAGCTGACTTTATTCTAGAAGCAGGAAAGAAGTAATTTAATACAGAAAGCTTTGGTAGAAGACATGGGGAAGCATATGACAAAGCACTTACAAGGTGGTTGTGAGCCCTTTCTCATCCCTTCTATCCCCCATTTTAAATAAAACCCTCTCTCTCCTCATTCCATTTCCTCCCTTCCCAAGAGCAGAAGGCAATGGTAAGAAAAGCACCTTGAAGTGCATACACAGCAAAGTGCATTTATCTGATAAGCATCGACATGGTCTCAGATCTTTCTAGTATGTTGTTTTATCTGTAATAGTGTCTGGGACCTGAAGGGTTAGCAAAAATTTCATTACTTTGCTTCTCCCAAATAAGCAGACTGGTCCTCTGATCTAATACTGGAGTTTCATGGAGCGTAAGCCAACTTGTGCTTGCTTCTAAGCAATCATGCTTCTGTCTGCTGGTGTCCTTGCTTGGCCTCTTCCTTCAGTGTACAAAATCTGCAGAAAGTCACTATTTTTGAAGTATTTTTCTCCAGATTAATGTGTTGAAATGGCCTGATGAGGGGTCTGAGTGATGAAGCCAGTAGAAGTGGAGCACCAGAGCAGGGCTGGGGTGCTGGTAATGATGGTGGAAGTGTAATGTGGTAGAATTGAAACGACTGTTAGTTGTCAGTGTAGGCTGCTCTGCAATAGGAGTTGAAATATAAGTAATTTTCTAGAGTTCTTTCAGTTCTGGTAGTTTGGTTAGCTAGGGAGTCTCCACGAGTCTGTACAGTACAAACACAAGCATGTCTTTGCAGTCTAGCCAGGTTCCTCACTTGATAGGTAACTTTTTGTATGCATCTGAACTCATCACTCCTGAATTTTGTTGAGTAATTAACCTATATTTTTTCATGTGGAATGTTTGATGGGTCCCAGGTGAAAATGGTTGGGAGCATCAGCATTTTGGCAAAACCATTAACTTCCACTTAAATTAATCTAGTACAAAATTAGCAAAGAGCAGATGGAAGATTTGCCAGGTATCACAAAGCAGGTGATAAAGAGAGAAGACTTCAGTTGTTGCTGCCTCAGAGAGAACTGCTGTGGTGGGGAATTCTCTGCTGGGAAGGCTGGTTTCTTTGCCACGTGAGGGGACACAAGTACACTGGTACCTGTTTCTGTTCCTTTCTGATGCAAGGGCTGCTTTAAATCTTAATCTGGAATGCTTGACAATGAGGAACTTCCTACTTGTGCTCTTTTCTGGTAGGACTGAGAGGCCTAAGGTACCACAGGCAAGCTGCCCATTACCCACCCACCTACGGGGATATCTGAACAGGACTCAGTGTGATGAATTGTTGAATGTGCAATGTTTCTCTGTGTTCTATAAAATACCATTAGGAAGCAAGATTCCTTTCATTCAGCCATGAAACTAGACCTGTGTGGATTTGCAGGGTTCATTAATTTATCTTAGATTGAAGAAGCAGTGTTATCTGTTGCTCTTCAGTACGTTGTGTGGATCCAGGAGAATTATACTGAATTTTTAATATTTTTTTTTTTTTTTTTTTTCTGTGACCACCTAATAAGTTTAGGTGGAAAAGAAAAAGGTGAAATGTGTCACCTTTATAAAGAAATTACTTAGTATGTACTTTTTTTGTGTTGTGAGGGTTGGTAGATTTTCAGTAGGTGAAAACCTGGTTGGGTTTTCTCAACTAGAAAGTTATTAATAGAAGTTTCTGGTATGTTCTTTGGGAGAATAATGTAATTCTAGAACAAACTCACAGACAAAAAACCCAAACAGTTTTTACCTCAAATTATAAAATGTGCTGGGATGCAGGGTAAGAGACAGTGGTTGTCAAGGGGGGCGTCTTCTAGGAAAATGGGGAAGATAACAATGGACCTTTCTTTTAAAGTTAGTGCTGCATATCAGTCTTATTGTAGACCATAGCTAAAAAATTCCTTCTGCTGAAAGTGAGACTGGATCAGTGGAGACTTGACTTGGTTTCTTCTTTGCTTAAACTCCTGAACTTACTTCACAGCTGCAAAACTTGGAAGTCTTTTTAGGGTATGGGTGCTAAACTTTAGAATTATAGATAGATTTAGGTTGCAGGAAAGCTTTGGAGCTCATCCAAATTCCATGCCCTGGTCAAAAGCAGTATTGACTTTGAACTTCTGTGTGTTTGCTTGCGTCTTTCTACCGTTGATTTCCAAGTATATCCAAGACTGAAGATTCTACAACCATTTTGGGCAACCTGCTCCAGTTTTACTCTTTTAGTAAGAATTTTCCTTGTCTAATCAGAACTTACTTTGCTGCATCTTGGGTCTTATGCCTCCTTTCCTTTCCCTGTGTATTTCTGAGGAAAGTCTGTGGTCAGTCACCTGAATACCTCAAGTATACATTAGGTAGCCAAAGACAGCCCTTAGATCCCCCAGTAGAACAATGTGAGAGTTAATTTTGGTTAATTCCATCTGAATATAGTTATCTTCTTTCTAGGGTTTGCTAGGAATGTAGAAAAGACTGCAGTAGTCACTGACTGACTGTATTGTAATGTCTTGACAGCCATATTGTTAATTTTTTTTATCTTTTCCTAACAACAGCTAAGACATTACATAACTGTTACGTAGCTTAAAATGTAGATGACTTCTAAGATGACTGGTGGGGATGTCAGAAGAAAAGGGAAGAGAAAATGGCTTGAGGAGTAGGGTGGCAATTTTAGGACCTAAGGTGCAGCTTAAAATTTTTGTACGTTTTGTCCTTTGCATAACTTCAGCGAGTCCCCATTGGTGTTACTGCCTATCTGCTGGGAAATCTTTTGTTGAGCCTCTTCAAGACCTCTGTGGGATAGCTCACTCTGTGAACTCCCCTCAGTGTGAATTCTCTCTGTTCTGAAAAGATAAAAAGCTCAATGATTCTTAGTAGTTGGTTGGTAACACTTTCCACTTTTCTACTTCCCTGACTGAAAATTTTTTCTGGGAATTGTATCAAAATAAGATGATTACTCTGTCATTACACTTCTACCTTCTGCACTATTTTCCAGTAAATTCATTTCTGTCTGGGGAGCTTGCTTCCTAAAACATCAAGGTCTTGCTAAACTTTCCTGTGATTTTGGTTCAGAGCATGTGTGCCTATGTGTTTCTAAGAACCCAGATGTGCTTGCAGAGTTTGTGTGAAACCACCAGGAGAAACTTGGCACTTGTGAAAACTTGTGCAAGTTTGTGGTGTTCTTATAACAGACCATCTCTTCTAGTGTTTTTCTAGGGAGGAAGTGTGTAATAAATAATTTTAAGAATAATGGGAAAACATGTAAAAACCCAAACCAAACCTCCTCCTGCTTGCTTTCCAAACAGTTACGTAGTTGTTGAGCAAACTGGAGAGCAAAAGTGCAATTGGGTCAGTTCAGACAAAAATCTAGTGTCCTACAAATTAATTTGAAGTTAATTAAATATAACTGAGTTAAATAGGAGAGTTGTATAAAAATAATTAAAGCTTAACTGGAATGACAGAGGTTACAAGAAGATAATAGGAAATAACACCTTTTTAGTAAACTGATAGATGGATTTGCTTCAATTGGCAGTTGTGATGAATTGTTCTTTATGCAATGCATGTAGTGCTTGAAGTTTTAATGTTACTGTCTTTGATCCCTTCTAGATGTAGATGATACCTTTACTGTTTGGATTAAAAGATGTGAAGAAACACTAAATGGTAAGAAAAAACACATTTACTTGATAAGGAATTTGATATGCCCTGTGCTTTGAAGCTGTGTCATGTGTTTCAAAGATTTACAGTTTACCTCTTACTTAGAACAAAAGGAATTATTTTTGAAGAAAAAGTTAACTTTTTCTTCTCGTTTCTCTCAGAGTATGCATCCTGAACACTTCTATACTTCAGATTTAGAGAAACTAGTTTTTTAATGTCATTATTAGCTGTGACAGGGGAGTTAAGTTCAGACAATCATAATTAAACTTGTTTTCATACACAACTGTTAAACAATTTTAACTGTAGACTAAAAAAAAAAAGAGGATAACCCTTTTGGGTTGTATAAGAATCAACAAATTTCTACTTTGTGATATGTTTTTGCCAGATTTATTTTTATTTGGAGAAATTAAATAAGCGATTGGCATGCACAGTCTTGTTTGCAAAGAGTTATCTTGGGTGACAGCTTTCTCTGCCTTCTGAAGGAACAAGGTTATAATAATAAACATTTTTCTCTAAGTACTTTTTGCAGTGTTTTGTCTGGTTCAACTCAGTTGTCCTATTTTATCCTGAGTATTTATCCCTGTCTTGTTTTTGAGCTGTTCTCCTAACTCTCTGATAGATTCCAAAACCCAACAAAACAACAACCCAGATTTCTTCATTATAATTTAATATTCTTTTTTTGTTAATCTTTATCTCTTTTTAGCCATATGCATTATAAAGAAACAAAGGGAACATTTGGGTTTTTGTCAAACATTTTTAAATCTGAAACAGGAAAAGAGGAGATACTGAGCTATAGTTCAGATCCAAGTATTACTGTATATTTAAGGTCATAGGAGTGAATTTCTCTGCCACGTTTCCATGTCATTCCCCAACTGGGTTTGTCTAGCCTGAGATATAAATTTGATGATAACATTGTGCTATTCCCGTGGATGGAGAATAAACCCAGTACAGGCTCATAGGAAGTGATTTTTAAAACTTTTGTTTGCTGTGATATTGATTTCATTTAAAAAAGGACTGTGTAGGTTTCTGATAAGCAAGTAATGGGAAGTAAAGGAAAATTTATTCCTCTCTTCATCTGAAGCATGTTCTGATAATAGTTGTTCCTTTGCACAAATTGCTGTTTAAAGTATGATAAAAGTAGTGTCATAAAAGCAAAATATTAGAGGTAGAATTGGCATGTTTTTAACTCTTCTGCTTTTAAGCCTGGAATAAATGAGGAATGTCTGGAGTAGCTGAAGAAAGCTAAATGTATGCCTTGTAAGTTCAATGTCTTTTTCTGAAAGTGCAACTTTTTTCTTTCTGCAGCATCACAGACAGAAGAGGTGAGACTGTTTTCTTAATGTGTTTGCTGTTCTGATTTCTCTGTTAAGCTGGAGCATGCTTCTCAGCTTCAGTGGCTTCTTACAGCTTTCAGGCTTTAAAAAATAATGTTTTCTATTGCATGCAATTCTGAAGGATTTAACTTTTCTTCTAAACATGTATTCCTTTATGGGAAGCTAAGGTTACAAAATGTGAACTCTGAAAACTCTTAGGAGCAGCATACAAATATGGGAATTCCTGTGCACTCATTGAAGTAAATTTTAACTTTCTGACTTGCAGTTTGTAGCCTAATTTACAAGTTCACCAGCTCATGTTGTCAATCAATACTAACTTGCTTGTGACTGCTAGAAAGTAACTGCTTTTTTTTCTAGTAGCTTGCAAGTGATTTGAACAGACTTCTTTCTACTGTAACTCATTCAACTTTGAGTTCCTTCTTTTATTGGAAGTTTTCAGAAGAAATGTTGAAATTAACTCCTCACCCTTTTCTTGAGACAAAAAAAAAAAAAGGAAATTTTACACTGATTGTTCTGCTTCCTCTTCCATGGCTACTTCTGGGTTTTTTATGTTTTACGAACAGGATAGAGGAAGAAAGCATACAGAAAACATGATGGGTGTATGTAAAGAAAATCTTACAGTTAAAATGTTTTTATGTTTAAAAGTTAAACCTTAAGTTCTCAGACCTATTTCAGGTTTCCATTATGACTTTGAGATCAGCAGCATAGCCACTGCATGTCTTTCACATATACTTCTTATCCAGGAAGGAAATGAGTTAAAGCTGAACTTACTGCTAGTTATAAAATGTCTGATCAATATATTCTAAGTTACAGACATGTTCATGTAAATTGAAGCTTTAAAATTCTTAATCTTGCATAAATGACTAGGAGCACAGTGAAGAGCTTCACCTGTAAGTTAATGCTCATACATAAATCAAGAAGAGGGGAGCAATCAGTATGAAAATGATTTAATGTCTTTGAAAAGTACTTCATGGTGTATTTTCACTTACACTGACGTAATTTTCTTTCCAACCAAATGTTCTTCAACTAGAATACACAGCCACAACCTCTGCCACCAAAGATCAAGTAAGTTGACTTTAGCTTTACTGTTAGAATTAAAATAATTGCCATCTGACTGTTCTTTGACTTGGGGATTAGAGAAGCAAGTCAATGACTGTAGAAATTCTGTTGGGGTAACTTTAAAAACGTGGCAGTCCAAGTGAAGTGTTTTTTAGTGTCAACACTCTTGTTCAAACTGAGTTGAACTTTCAGGAGTTTCTGCCTCACTGGGAGGGTGGGGAATGGAGTAAGTGTTCTGCCTTCTGTTTTCTGATTCTTGTGCTGAGCTTAATTCAAAGACTGTCCTGCGTGTCTGGTATAGGTAGTGTTTTGAGGTATTTTTAAGATCCTGAACTAAAAAGTGCTGTTTAATTTACAGAAGGCAAACAGTGTTAGGAATTGGTTAAGAAAGTGGCCTAGTTTTATGTGCTTCTTGATTAAAAAAAGATTCTTTCTCTAACTACTTGTCCATTCTTCAACTGCCTTTTTAGAGGAAAGGGAAGAAATCTTATTTTGTATGTTTTTCCTCCATTAAACTACACAACGTGCTGCTTCAGCTTCTGGTATTCTTCTGTGTATGTCTTTGCAGTCAGTTTTTCATCTCTTTTTTTTCTTTTTCTTAGATATGACTGGTACCAAACAGAATCTCAAGTAATTGTGACTATAATGATCAAGAATGCACAGAAGGATGATGTCAGCGTACAGTTCTCAGAGAAAGAGGTGACTTGTTTTAGTTACTGACACACATCCCTAGATTCCCTCAGATGTTATAACTAAAACAGTGAACAGTATTTGCTGCAACAGTATGAAGAGAATGGTACAGGTGGTCTTTGAGCCTTTTTTTAATAGAGAGTATTGCTGTATAGAATCATGTGAAGGAGGATCTGTTCATAGGATTTGTACACAAGCAGTAGCTTGGCGTATGTCTGGTTTTCAGCTGCCTGTGTCTTTGGAATGTTGGGGGAAGAAGGGATCTGCACGGAGTATGCATGCATCTGGACAGAGAACGGACAGAGAAAATTATTCTAAAAATTATTACATGAATGACTAATGACTTGCTTTAGGACAATATAGAAAAATTATGAATGTTTTTGTGGGGCTTTGTCTTGCTTTTGGCACCACTAAAATTTTAATGGCAGGAAAGTATGTATTGTAAGGAAGTGCAGTAGTTTCTCCATCAGAATGCCAGTGATGTTCATGTTTAATTTAACTGAGAATACTGAAGATTTAGTTTCTTATTTTCCACTAAGCTGATACTTCCTGACCTACCAGAACTACTTGGCTGTTACTATTTGCTTTGGATTGTTAAAATTGTGTGAGTATTTGCTACATAGCTTGCGTGTGATAGAAGGGAAGTTGCAGATTGTTTTCATGTTCCATTATTAATGTGTTGATACTTAATTTGCCATATAATTCTTTCCCTCAAAAATGCAGATCAAACTGACAAGATAACAGGCTTTTTGAGTACTTGCTGGCTAGGAATTGAAATCTGTTAACTTTCTAGTATACTTTAGAGATGCCTTATTCAGTAATGCAGTAAGGTAGTAGTGTTGTCTGAAATTCTGACGCCTGCTGCTCTGAGTGCCCTAGTGAAGGGTCGCTAATTTAATCAGTTTTGGTGCCAAATGACAACCCTTTACTTGGAAATGGAAAACTGCTCTCAGAGATGACCAGAGATGTGTTTTTGACTGTTAACAGATGAGTGCATCAGTGAGGCTTCCATCAGGAGAAGACTACAACTTAAAGCTCGCTCTTCTTCATTCTATAGTGCCGGAGCAAAGTACATTTAAAGTGCTTTCAACAAAGGTAAGCTTCTTAAAGTGTAAATTATTTCTTTGACTGTTCTGATGTTGAAAACGTTTCTGCTCTGTTGTCTTGTCCCTTTGCAACAGCCATAATACCTTCCTTTTTGTAGAGAATGATTTCTCTTCTTCAAGAATTACCATAGATTGTTGGTCTTGGTTTTCCACTCCTCTCGCTAAGAAAGCTGGGCAGGTTATGTGATTGAGTGGCGTGAGCTCTTGTGCTGTGGGAGATAAGCAGAGAGCTCAGACCTGCTAGTCCAATAGTATTTACGTAAATTTGAGTGGAATGGGCATGGACCTCGTCAAGGGGAGTAACTGTGAGATGCTGTTTGCTTTATGTTCCTGTCTAGCTTGTGTTATGCTTTTCACTCTTCCTGAAATTTACCATTACTTCCAAGCGTCTGCATGCCACTGGACACTGTTCAATTTGACTTTGTCTTTCTGCACTACTGTCTCTAGCCTGGGCTAATCTCCAGAATAATCTCTTGTAGTCTAGAGCCTGGTTTAGACTGAGGTTCCTAAAGCAGCGTGAAAACTTCAGTTATGTTCAGGCAGTGCCTGAAATGTAAATATTTTGCACATGTTTTCAAATGTTATTGTTCTTATATGATTGTGATATAATATTTTGGAGATGAAATGGGATAAGGGAGAACACAGTAGGTGTTTGGACAAAAGTCAGCATGTCAACATGTTCTTCCATTTGCAGAAAAAAATAGTATAAGAACATCTGTGAAGCTTCAATGAAAGAATAAAATTTAAGTGATCCCCCAGCTAATTCCAGTTCCAACCAGCAGATGGAGCCTGGCCGAAGGAAAGAAAATTACAAGTATAGGCACGTTAAGCATCCAAAGGCTTAAAATGCTTTACTTTGAAAAACATTAAGCACTGTAAGGGAATGGTGCAGCCTTAGTGTTCTAATACTAGAAATTAAGATTTCAAAAGTTTTGTGTATATGTTTTGTTCTTACAAATGGTAGGGAAACCACACAGTTACTTGAGTAAGCTGTCTCATTGCTTAGAACTTCTGACACCCTTTACAAATCATTTTGTACCATTTACATTAAGTCCTTTTTTAAGGACTTGGAACTAAAGACATAATCTCATTATCTTCCCACTTATATGAACTTCTTACTACACACTGCTAACGAAATTGTGTTTTCATGGAATAGGAACAGATCTATTCCTGTGGATTAATAATTACAGAAAAATGCCGCTGTATCTGTTTTGCCACTTTGAATGTGTGAGCCACAGTAGCATTGTGTGGTCTTCATGGGGCAACAGAGTCCTGTCCTTCTCTTCCAATTTATGAAGAAATATATGAAGAAACAGAGTGGAGTATATAGACAGGTTATGTGGTGGATAGCTTGGGTTTCCCATGAACTTCATGAAACTAATAAATGTAATGGACAGAGGTTAAAACAACAGAACTGCCAGACAGCAAAACAATCCTTTCTGTTTTCAGAACTAAGAGAAAGTGGGGAGGGATTTCTCAGTACTACTTGAAATTGAGTTTCACTTGGCAAATGCAAAGGAGTAAAGGTAAAGATGCAAATTCAGAAGGAGAAAATAGCCTTAATTGCATTTGCAGAATTACAGATTCTGAAATAACTGCAAAGAGCACACAGAACTTACAGATTCTGGGATTGGTTCTTTCAGGGAATGTTAGCAATGGTGAAAAATGCAACTGGTACCTTAAGAATTTTTTCTTTCCTAAAAATAAAATAAAAATGATAAATTAAAAAATAAATTAATTAATAAAGTCCTGCAGTGTCTAGCTCTCAGGTATAAAGTCCCTGTTTGGAAAAGGACAAAACTAGCAAATAGTACTGAGGTAGCATAGATAGGTGTTTCGAGGGGTTTGAATGGTTTCTGTATGAGCAGAAGTGAACTTGTGTTCATAATCTGCAGACTTTTGGCTTCAGGCTGTGAGCCAGAAGAGGTAAAACACTTGATGCCGACTCAAGAACAGCATAATGTGTGGGTGAAGTCCAATTTTGAGATAAGATCTTAATCTCTTTCTTTATGCATCCTAGTGTTGTATATTCTTTAATTGTCAACAGTTGTACAGAGGATACAGTCTGCCACTAGGCTGTATGTATTGCTGCTGTGCTTGAAGCCTCGTTTTTTTTTACCGAATTCAGAAGTTTATTTGCTCTTTAATAGACACCCCTACTTGGAAACTTAGCTTTGAGTTAATTATGGTTCACATGTAGTCGCAAGTTACTTGGAGTTACCCAGGGTTGTTCAGCACAAAAATTTGATGATTTAAGGCGTCAGCTTACTGTTCATGTGAGAAAATGCTGAAATGTATCGAGTCCTCTTCTTGAGGGAATTGCTATATATGTGTAGGGATGTTTTTCTTGTGTGTGAACTACACAGTTGATAGATCATAACTACATTGATTGACATTATTAGTCATACTCTTCATCTGTCAAAGGGATCTGACCACAGTAATCTGATCAAGCAAAAACTAGCAGCAGCTCCAAAAAGCACTGTATACATCTGAGATTTGTGTCCTACAAATGGAAGCTGGTCTAGTCTTTGTATTTAGCATGACTGTACACAATAGGTAGGATTTGGTGTATTTTGGTGGTCATTTTCAGGTATGTTCAGGTGTCAGGTGAAGGGCAAAGGGGGGTGTGCCACACTGAAAACCCCACGTTGCATGCAGGATTTAACAGGAGGAAGGAAGGTACTACTTGATGCTACTTGGTTTTTCACTTCTTTCCAGGAGAGGGAGCCAAAATGTAAGGGGTGGACCAAGTTTGGTCTTTGGAAGTCGCCTGTGTGCAGTTACCATGTAGCTCAGGGTGCATAATATCATTGTGCTCCCTTTAGAAAAAGGAAAAAGGCTTAAAAACTTAAAATGACTAAATATGTTTAAGACAAAACCAGCTGATCTGCCTTTGTCCAGAAAACATGGCAGGAAAGTAGAAAGGCACAAACAGTGTAAGGATTTTTAATATTCTGAAATAGTTCTTTGTACACAATCAGCCTGTTTCTTTTCCCTCTTCAGTCTACCAGTCAGTGTATTTGGGATTCCAGGGGAATATTCTGCCACGTTCTGTTGGAAACTTGTGTAACCTGAACAGTTTCTCTAGACCTTGTGTTGTGTTCTAGGTGATACTGGGGCTTTCTTCTCCTTAGACCTAGAAGAGGAGGGTGAGGATGAGTATGTGCTTTTAGTACATGTGCTTATGAACTTAAAAGAAACTTGAGCTAGTGCTTTCTCTCTTTCTTCCCCTCTGCTCTTGCATCTACAAATAATCTGGGGACAACTACTGTGAGCTCTTACTGGTTTGGGATTTTTGCAAGCAATGATTTACAGCAATTTAGAACCATTTGGAAAAGTGGTAAAAAGCAGTTTCTTTATCCAAGAACTGTCCTTTAGAGATCAAAGTTGTGCTGCAAACAGAGGAGGTGTTAGAAATCCTCATCCCTTTTTATAGTTGACATTTGTTACTTAATAGAGAGGTCTGAGGTAGAAGCACATTCTCAGCAGCTTCATGCCAAGAATATGACAAGTATGCCTCAGAGGAATGTTTCTTTTCCTCAAACCAACATTTTGCCTTGCAAACTCTGAAGGACTCTGTGCAGCTTACTGAAAAAGCACATAGATGCCTGTTGCTGCTGCTAGATGTAAAGGAAAAGGCAAAGAGTGAAACCTCTTGGACTGTCATCAGAGCCTCTATTCAGAGGAAAATGAACACAAACAGATAAACAGAGCAACAGATTTATTTTAACTGATGTTGGTTCTTACCATTGCAGCCCTATCCTTAAACACTTTCTTCTTTTGGATATTTTCATTAAAATACATGCAGACACATGATTGCAGACTTTTCTGCTATCATGTACTTGTTCCCTCTGTGAGGCTTTTGTGCAGATTCCTATCTCACATATATGTTCTTGAGCATTTTCTCTAAATTACAAAATGATGCTTAAGATGGGAGTTGGATACTTGTCTGAAATTTCTTGCATCTCTTAGGCAGGCTAGTTGGAACATTTCCTGGCTAGACCATAAGGAAACCTCCCCAGTGATTGGCATGATATTTACTTGGTTCAAGGTGTTTTGTCTTGGATTGCTTTTTTGAATGGAGATGGGTGTGGGGCAGATTTAAACTCCTTCATACTCTGAGAACTGTATTTTAAGCAAACGGAAAAGTCAGTGGCCATATAAGTAGAAGAAGGACAACTATGTATGAGGATTTTTCTATGTCTTGAGAGAAGATGAATTTAAGAACTGTCTTAACAGCAACTTTTTACACTGAGGCTGCACTGAGAAAGGGCTTTAGGATACCTAAATGATCAGCATAATGCTAGGACCTGTTAGGGTGGGTCTGGAGAAGGGCCATGAAGATGTCCCAGAGGGCTGGAACACCTCCTACGAGGACAGGCTGAGAGAGCTGGGGTTGTTTAGCCTGGAGAACATAGGATTCAAGGGCTGTCTTATTGTGGCCTTTTAGTATTTGAAGGGGGCCTACAGGAAAGCTGGGGAGGGACTTTAAACAAGGGCTTGTAGTGATAGGGTGAGGGGTAATTGGTTCAGACTGTTAGAGGGTAGGTTTAAGTTAAAGGAAGAAAGGAATTATAGGATGTAAGGAAGAAGCTCTTCACTATGAGGGGGGTGAGACACTGGACTAGATTGTCATATTCACTGGCACATGTTGTCCAAGGAAGTTGTGGATGCTCCATCACTGGGTGTGTTCAAGACCAGGTTGGATGGGGCTTTACACAGCCTATTCTAGTGGGAGGTGCCCCTGCCTGTGGCCGGGGGTTGGAACTAGATGATCTTTAAGGTCCCTTCCAACTCAAGCCACGCTTGTTAAAATCTTACATTTTTAGGATAAGTGGCTGCAATGTAATATCAGTGAGATGGAAACTTTGACCATTTCACACTTAGTTCTTCATAGTGCGTAGCTGGCAAAGAACTGAAAGGTAGGCACAAAATCCCTTCTGTTGCAATATATTCACTAGAGAATAAATTCCTTAGTTATCACTTATTTGTGATAACCCTGTAGAGCTATTTTCATCTCCATATATTTTTTTTTTAAAGTTATGGACCAAAGATCTTGGAATTTGGGATATAAGCAATGTATAAAAAGTCTTTGAACAACTAAGGTACAAAAACTGTATGTACATATGGTCTTAGAGGCAAGTTTGAATATGTTTTTAGAAGAAGGTGCTATTTTGTCTTAACCTTAAATTGAGGTAACAAAATACATGAGATGATTGCAAAATGACAACTCTAAACTCTTAAAATTTACAACTCTGATGAGGCAGTCAGCAGTTCAGTAAATAAGTAATTGATTGGAAACCCTGAATCCTCGTTTTCCTGCATTCGATATAGCAAAACATCAGAATTTAAAAGAGTGTTTTTTTGATGCAGCTTAAAATTAATGCCTGAACTACTTCTTAAGCTTTGCCAGTTCTGATTTCCTTCATCCATCTGATCAGAGCTTGACATAAATTTGCCAGCAGTAAGTGAACTTTCCCTTAGCATGGACTGTAAAATATCACACAGGAGAAATTAGGAAAAAAAAAAATCCTTGTAACTTGTCAGTGTACACCAGAATCTTCTTTTACGGAGGAAGATAAAAATTTTTTCCCTTTTAATGTTTCCCAGTTAAGCTGGTAATGTGTCCCACAATGTAAATTCAAGAGAAATGTAGTTCTTCAGAGGTTTGGGCTTTTTTTAACCTTTTTTAACAGTAAGCTTCTACCTAGAAAATAATGTTGGCTAACTAGCATTGTGTTTGTTTGTAGCTAAGGGGAGAAATTGTTTCTTACAACTAGATTAAAAGCTCTTCTATGCCAGTCATCCTAAAGTAAGGGAGTTTTATATTCTTATACCACTAGTGAAATAGGTTACACTAGCTTCTGACAGTACCTCTATGGCATCTTTCTGATAGCTAGTGCGTGGATTAAGCTGCAAACAAACTGGTCTGAATCTCTGAAAGTTTTAAAAAATTGATCACTTTTATGGCTAGGAAATTTTGTGAGTAGAAACTTCTCTGCATCCTTTCACTGCAGATGGAGTTTCTTGTAGACAACGAATCTCCCATTTGACCTTCTTCTCAAAGGGGGAGGTTTCTTTCAAGACAGTATTGCAAACAAGTAGTGCATGAATTGCTCTGTCAAAATTCCATGTTTCTTTTCCTTTGCTTCCTTTGAGCCCAGAATACCAGGAACTTGAATATTATAACAAAGTGGATTATTTCTGTTGGAACTTTTCATACTTCTGGCATACAGTGTCCAGTTTTGGGGTTCCTAGTGCAAGAAAGGCACTGATGTGTTAGAGGCAAGCCTAGTGGAGGGCTACTGAGACGGTCAGGTGGCTGCAGAACATGAGCTGCCAGGAGAGGCTGAGGAATTACACTTGTCCTCCAGTGGCATGCAAAGCATTTAATTTGCAATGAAGTTTTCCTGTCTTTTACACTAAAGTAGGGAAGAGGCACACAGGCACACATTTTATGAAATATAAATGCTAAATCAAAGCAGTTGGCAAAGTGTTGATGTATTTTTCTTGCCTGAGCATTTTTTTTTTTCCCAAAGGAGAGGAAAAAGCTAACAGTACTTGTGTGTTAGACATGACACAAATGTCCATACTTATCTGTTGCTTCTCAGTGTGACAGCTATCAGTATATGCTTTAAAATGTTCATTAAAATTCATTTATTGCCATTTGTGCCGTAATCAGGACTTGCAAAGTTGTTTCTCCTTAGATCAAGTAAAGCTCTCGAGTTGAAGAAATGCATGCCTTCACAAGCAGAATTTTACAGCTTTGTATTTTTGGAAAATGTGGTTGTATAATGGTATGAAGCTAATGGTTTCCCTGGGTTTGCTTCTGCCTGCCGCTTCGCCTAATGAGGAGCTTCTCTTGAAGTGGATGGAGTAGAACAGGGTAGAGGTTTAATCACATCATAAATACACTCAGTTCTTCAGCTGTCTGTAATTCTAGCTTGGCAGAGTTGAAATGGTTGAGATTTAAGAAATCTGCATCTTACGCTGGGAATTAGTTTTTAGCATTTCCTTTTTCTTAGGGATGTTTGTCGTGTAGTTACAGCCTTAGGGACAGTTTCAGAGAGGAAAGTGTAAGAACTAGTAGATTAAAAAAGGAGAGGGGGGGATTACTGGAACAGCAAAAGTAAAGATCATCCTTTTTACTTTTTCTTCTTTTTGTGTGTGGGCAGAGGTCTCTATAAGGGTTCTTTGAGGATTGTGTTTTGAGAAGAAAAAAGTCCTATGTTTAGTAGCTCACATTGAGTGTTACATTGTATTAGAGGTCATTCTTTTAACTTGTAACTAATTAGTGCCTTTTAAGTGGCTAGTTAACTTAAATGTTCTACTCATGAGATCAAAATCCACTGAAAAAAACAATTTAAAAACAAAACCTACTAGTTCTGTAATGATGGAACTAGTTGCTGGTCTTATATGCAGATACACAGATATTGTTGTCTTCCTTAAACTAATTGTAGAGCATTAGATTTAGGAGTGTAGGTGTTCAAAAATGAGCCTTAAGGTAGTAGTTTCCAAAGTGATTTTTAGAAGAGCCCAGCAGAGGAAGCTTTGCTGACCTCTTTCATCTTGCAGCAGGCTAGTAACTGGCACAGCTTGAATGCTACTTCTGCATACTTTGAACGAAAATCTCTGCATCCTTACAGATTGCAATATCAAGCTCTGGAATACAGGCCACCATTAGGGATAGCAGGTTAAGCAGCTAGAGTAGCACAATATTTTAATTTTATTTGATTATTTCTGGTCCTGTGACTGTGACTTTCACTATTTAAAAACTGATACTCTGATGCTTAATTTGTGACTTGTAAAGTTGCTAAAAACATTGGAAGCCAAATCCATGTGGGTGTGGGACTTAACAAACTTGCTGAAACTCCCTGGTTCCATACATCATGTCATAAACTTCTTGTTGTTCTCAGTACAAGTTAGCAGTGGAAAATAAGTATTTAAACTTCTCTAGGGAAGTGGTAGCTTCCCCGGGAGGGGGAAAAGTAAGAAAAAGAAGCAATCATAATTGAAAATTCTGATTCTTGAAATGCGTTATGATTGCAAACATGGAAGCTTTGAAACTTAAATCACCCCGTTTCTTTGTTTTTTATAAGGTATCTCGGTCTGTTGCTTGCCAGTGACTGATTTGAAGAATGGATTAAATAAAGTTTAAATTTCAGGTGAACATGGTGCTCTGCAAGGAGCTTGCCGTTGGGATCTCTAGGGGTAGCTTTTACAGTGGCGCCTTTGTTGGTGGGTCTGCAGGGATCCCCAGGTTACAGTGGCTTCGGGTAGAACTAAGAACTTGCTTTAGCTGAGCTATTTACAGATCGGGAACTGCTGAGACTTAGCAAGCACTTAATTAATAGAATCACATGAACTTTGCGACGTTTTCTTAAGTGAATTTGCCATTTGGAGTGGCATTAGACAGTCCTTCTTTCACAGACAGTTTTTGCAACTTTAACTTGGTAACCAAAGGATAAGGTTAATTACAAGAAAACATCTCAGTATGGTTGTCTAAAGGGATTATGTGTAGTTGTGAGTAGGGCATGACATAATTCACTTAGTTCTGTTTCTCCTATGATAATTGCAACCATATCCATTTTTAATTGCCAGTTTTGTCAACTAATAACTAGTCATTTTTCTTCATAGCTGTGTTTGTTCATTGAACCAAACAAATACAGCTGCTGAATTTCTCCAGTGGGAAGATATGCATAGTCCCAGGGTGCTTCTCTGGTCTGTGTACTATACATCAAACATGAAAGTTTTTGGTAGCTGAAATGTAAACCTAGATAAAGTTGGGTTTTGTAGTCCTTCAAAAGTGCTGTTTAATATTAGAGCTGACTGGCAAGAAAGGGATGCATGAAAGATAATACCTTGGTGCCTGGCAGTGTAGGGACATTGGGACTGATTGTTACTTCTGAATGCCGTGATTTTCAAGTGAATAGTGAGCAAAAGGGAAAGCTGAGTGGTACTATACAGAAGGTAAAAGTCTGATACAAGAATTATGCAGTCCCATAAGTTGTGTAACTTTATCTTGTAAGGTAGGTAAGTTTTGCTAAAATGAAGGCTTCTTATTAGAGACTGTGTTTCTCAAAGCAAATATATTTTCTTACTGCTCCAAGTTCCAACTACTTTGGTACTGTTTGGCAGCACTGCTCACCATCTGAATTAAGTTGTTCTTTGTCTTGTGTTTTGTAGGTTGAGATAAAAATGAAGAAGCCAGAGGCTGTAAGATGGGAAAAGCTGGAGGGACAGGGAAATTCTCCTAAAGTAAAGCAATTTACACCAGGTTTGTTCTCTGAACTTAAGTATTAAATGGTTTATTTGTATTAAGTTATTTGTAGTTATTAATAGTATTTTTGTGTTAAATATTGTTAATAAAATCACATCTTCATATTTAAAATGAGAAGCCTAATAGTGTTAGGTTTACTGCCAAGAATTGACAGGAAGAGTCTACAGGGCATGACTAAAACCTAGGTATTAAATTTAAAGCACAACAAGCCATCAGATTAATGGAAGTTAAGATTGTGTGATTGCCATTAATTTCTCTGGGCTTATCTGTTTGGCTCTGTTTTGGTCACTGTTTTGCAGTTCTATGCATTGTTATGCCTCTGTTGTTTCTTGCATAATTGTTATTTGCTCAAGTATTCCATCTCAATACTTTTTCAGATTTTCAAGACAGATTAACAATCTGTCTTTGAGAGAATTTGAACTGCCTTGTTTATTAATTTCTGATATTTATTTTTTTTAAATTCAGATAAAGTTTTCCTATGACTCTGGCCTCCTGGTTTTCTACTGTCTGTCTTTTTTTATTAGTCAGCCAATACTCCTGCCTCTTTTTGACTTTGTGGAGCTGTTGTCCAGTACTTTTTTTTGGATAACTAAATTATGTAACTGACTTAAATGTAAACTCGTGCAGCTACTGAATGCAGTCTGTAGCGATTCTAACTTTCCTTCATTTTTGTTACTGTGATGCCTCTATCAGTAGGAGGAATCCGTTTGCATTTTCAGATTCGTGTTCTGCGGTTGTCTCTGGTTCATTTGATACATGTGTCCCTATGTTCTCTACTGCCCTAAAGATAATGAGAAAATGCTCAGTTAAATAACACTTCTGTTTTCAGATACCCAGCACTTATATCCATCCTCCTCACACTATACAAGGAACTGGGACAAACTGGTAGTTGAAATAAAAGAAGAGGAGAAGAATGAGAAGTTAGAAGGAGATGCTGCTTTAAATAAACTCTTCCAGCAAATTTATTCTGATGGCACAGATGAAGTGAAACGTGCCATGAACAAATCATTTGTAAGTCTGTGTTACTTTTTATCAGAAGAAATATGTAACTTTTGCACACTGACACAACTTACTAAACTCTGCATGAATCAGGAAGCCTCTAGCTACTAAAACCTTGGGCCTATAATGGATGGCAGTAGTTCTGTTGGGGACAGTGATGTAACAAGCCTCCCTGAAAGCTATGATGTTGCACACTAATGAATGTGACTCTTTAAGTCCAAGGCTGTGATTTGTCTCTGATTTCTTTGTTACAAACAATGTTACCAAAGGGAATATGGGGTTTGGCTCATACAGAGCTTGAAGACGTGCCGTGGGTGAAAGGATCAAACTCCTCTTAATTGTTTGTAGCTAGTTCCTTTTATGTGCAGTCTTCATAAGCAAGAATGTGACTGATCCTTCAAAAGCTTCTTGCTCATGAAGTAGCATCTCATTGTGTCCAGTACTGGTAAAAATGCTGTTTGGCTGAAGATCATGGAATGATAGCTTTGTCAAATTTTATTCTATAGGTACACAGGAGTCCTGTGTAATTGCTGCTACATGAAACTTATTCCTTATTCAGAATTTGTTAATCTGCTGTAAGAAACGTGGCTTTTATATTACTAGAATTCCTCTGGCAAACTAAACAAGCTTTCTCTGCTATTGCAGATGGAGTCTGGAGGCACAGTTCTGAGCACCAACTGGTCTGATGTTGGTAAAAGGAAGGTGGAAGTCAATCCTCCTGATGACGTGGAATGGAAAAAATTCTAATCTTATTTTTAACCTTTTACCACCTGTGTGTTGCCATAGTCATGTACTGACCACTGTGTATGGACATAGCATTCTTGAATCCAAAGCACTGAATGTTCCCTTGGAAACAGGAATTGTCTTTGCATTTTGCGTGCTTTAGAAATTCCTTCATCCACAGATCTTAAAGAAATACTCAAGAATGGAACCCTGTTTTCACCATCTATGTCTAATTTTTTGGAAATTGAGTAAATCAGTCTAAATTTTCTACCACCTCTATCAGCTCTGCTCTTTGGGGATGGGGTGATCTCTAATGGCTGGTCAGGATTTTTGCCTTACGCCTGGTATTTCTGCTCAATAACTTATTAGATCTCGGCAACTTTGGGTAAAAACACTTTTCAACAACAGTGTTAAAATTGTTTGCTCTTTAAACCTGCTAAATAAAGCTGTAAATAGAACTTTTTTTTTTTTATACAGAAGCTGCTTCATTTCATTTTTAGTAAATCTTGTGTTTTGTTGGGGGAGTCCAAGTGTATTGGTGAGGATGTGAATACACTGCTTAAAAAACCAACTGGCATATGCAGGAGCAAAATGTGCATTTGGTGAAGAGGATGAGATTGCTATTCTTGATGCAGACATGAAATTTCCACTTTTGGAGTCCTTCCACCTGGGTGATAGGTTGAACTGCACTCATGTGTGATGAAAGGGGGAAGGTTGTGGCTGGAAATCTCTGCAGAAGGCAGAGGACCCACTTTTCTATATTTATAAAGAAGAATCTGTTGCCGTTGCCTGAAACCAAAGATAGCAAGCAGTTGTGTTACTTGAGGATATTTGAAGCCGTTTATGTTTTAGAGAAGAGCCCACACATTCTTAATTGTTTCCATCACTGCAGCTTTCCCATCATGATCAAATTGTAAATAACTATTTACAGGAAAAGAACTGAGAAATGTAAGAAATGCTGCCTATGCTTGTACTACTTGGATACAAGTCTGCAAGGGCCTCTGGGTGCTCAAAAACCATCTGGATGACATGGTCCTGGGGACCTGGCTCTAGGTGGCCCTGCTTGAGTAGCAAGGTTGGATCAAGTGACATCCAGAGGCCCCTTCTAACCTCAACTGTTCTGTGAAAGATGAACTTGCAAAGCTGTGGTAAACGTGCCTGGTCCATATGTTCCTGTCTCTTGGGAATTCAGAGATGCCAAAATATTGTACAATTCTAGAAAACACCATGAATTGCAAATATTGGCAGTCCCTGAAAACCACTTCATTCCTCGCTAACCATTGGGTGCTGCTTGCTTTGCTGCTCTCCCTTGTGTTCCTAATAACATAGATGCTTCCAGGTGGTTTGATACTCTTGTATCTTGCCTGTTTTCTTTGTATTTGATATGTTGTTTTACTGCAGTGAGAATTGGGTGAGATTGGTAAAATCTACAGACTATCAGAGCAGGTGTTTTAATGGGACAAGTGAAGTCTGCAGCTGTGCCACTAATAAATGTGTGTAAAAGAATGAAAACTACGGAGGAGGGAGAAAAGATATATATTTTGTTCCTCCTGAGAACTAGGAATCTAGGCTTTGCAGTGATGCTAGGACAGTGCAGTGGGTATTTTTCCTACTACTGTTACTGTGCCTATGCAGTAGACAGCAAAATTTTCAAACCTCCCAAATCTTAAAAAGGGAGCTTTTTTTTTGGGGTGTATACCATAGCTATGAATTTCAGTGTCAGACGTAGACTATGACTATGGTCTTGACATAACTGCAGTTTCTTGACGTGCTTAATCATGGTCAAGCTGGGCAGTGAGTTCTTTTTGAACCACTGTTGGCTTCAGAATGGATTCATATTTTCCAAAGTTCAAATTTTACTACCTTCAAAACTGAATGTTATTCTGGTCTTTGAATACAATGAAGGGAGATGGATTGAGTTTAGGGAGTATTTCATGTGTGCATTACCTCTTGACTGTTGCTGTCTTCTTCTTGGAAGAGTTTCTTAAAGGATATACCTGTGTCATATTTCAGTAAAGATTTATTAGCTTCAGTGGGGAATTTCTAGCCCTTCAGAGAACTGAGTAGCCAGTTGCTCACTATCTAGAGCATTTTTCCGTCCGTATGTGGTGATAACATTGAAGTTAACTTGGCTTGGAACAGGGACTTGAGCTTGATTCTCCTGGATAAGTGCTTTGCTGCTTTTTAGTTATGCTCTGAAAAGCATTTCTTCCTTTCTAACGCAGAAGGCAGGCAAATGTCTGCGCGCTTCACTTTGTCCCAAAATTGGGTTCTTGTCTCCTGGCCAGCCTTGCTTTAGAGATGTCATTCAGAGCACTTAACAGTGCTTAGCAAAGACTTGCTCTGGGAAAAGCCTAGATAAAAATCTCTTAAATAGAAATGAAAAAGTAATTTGAGGATGTTTTATGCCAATAAAGTTTTTCTTACTTACTGAAGAGAACACAGGAGGGGCTCCTGTGTCAACTTTCACTTACAGAAGGACCGTGGGGAATATTACGTCAGATAAGCCCAACATATGTGCTTGTATTAAGTGGGTACTATTTGGGATTCATTCACGTAGCTCAAGGCAAAAAGTAAAATAAAATGCATTGCTACTTAGGTACTCTTGAGGCATATATAATGCAAATAAAATGGTTTAGCTTCAGGCTAAAACTTGTAACAATCGAGTGGTAGACCTCCCTGTCCATTCTCACTCCTGTAAGCCAAGTTTGCAGGTCTGAACATCATTCCAGCGTGTTTCTGAGCACAGAACCTGTGTGTGCTCCGCCACAGAATACCGGGGAACCGATAATGACGGCTCCTCTTGCCTTACAGCAGGGAGCTGGGGGCTTTTGGTGGGAGAGGATTGGATTAAAGCAGTAGGCAAAATTTCCTTGCCAAGTTGAGGGGAAGGTGCTTCATGAACCTTGAACAGTGTATGTATTGTTCTGGACAAAACACATTCCCAGGGTGGTTCCAGAAGCCCTAGGTCAAGAGGAAGATGTCAGGGAGCTTGGAGGCTGTGAAGGTCCCAGTGGCAAAGATTGCCTTTGGGACTAGAGAGCGTGAGTGGAACTTGTGGCGCTGGCAATGAGTTGACTGTAGGCAGGGAACTGCCTATATGGGCAGAGCAAATGATGTTTTAATTGTGTTCAATCTTCTCTTGAGGGTTTTTCCCAAGCCTTTTGGTCACCTGTAGATAGTACTCTCTAGAGGACCCAGGCAGTTTCACCTCAGTGCTCTGATTTGTAGATCTGCTGTAAATACAGGAACAGGACAGCAAGAAGTAACAGCAGCTTTCCCATTTAATACCAGGGATGGGATTGCTCCCTGCTACTGTGCACAGAAAATGTGTCTGCTGTTGCTTAAGGCTGCCTCTTTGGTATGCGTGCACTGCTTGTGAAGATCAGTTGAGCCTCTCAGAAGACAGAAGCAGAAGATGGTGGCATTCCTACTCTTGCCCTTTCTGAGCAGAGATTCTGTCTACCCCAGTGTGCCAGTCAACAATCTATTCTTTGCCAACTGTGATTTTATGCTTCTCTACTTTTTTGTTGTTGTTGTTGTTTTGTTTTTTGTTTTTTTTCACTGCATGGAACAAGTGATTAGTCTGTTCTTCACTGAAACTTTTTTGGAATTTATTCGTGCTGCAGCAGGGGTGAAGTGTTACATAGGAGGCAGGAGACAAACCCCCCTGCTTCCATACGTCCTGGCTTCTCTCCTTTCTCAGTGTAGATACCAGTAGAGGATGATTCCCATATCAGAAAGGAAAAAGGGAGAGATGCTGGTTTGTTCCTTGTAACTGGGGAGAAAGGGAGCTGTAGGGACAAAAAAGAGACAACTCCAGCTTTCCAGTATAAGAATGACATTGAAGTGGTGGAGTGGGTCCAGAGAAGGGCAATGAATCTGGTGAAGGGTCTGGGGAACATAGCTTATGAGGAATGGCTGAGGGACTGGGGGTATTTAGCCTGGAGGAGAGGAGGCTGAGGGGAGACCCTATTGCTTTCTACCTGAAAGGAGGTGAGTGTTGGTCTCTTCTCCCAGGTTACTAGCGAGAGGATGAGAGGAAATGGACTCAAGTTGTACCAGAGGAGGGTTAGATTGGATATTGGGAAGATTTTCTTCCCTGCAAGAGTGGTGAGGCACTGGAACAGGCTGCCCAGGGAGGTGGAGGAGTCACCACCCTGGAAGTGTTCAAAACGAGTGTAGATGTGGCACTTGGGGACATGTTTTAATGGTCAAGGTAGTGTTGGGTGGTGGTTGGACTTGATGATCCTAGAGGTGTTTCCCAGTCTTAACGATTCTATAATCACTGGCTTTCAGTCTTTTTAACTGTATGGCGTTGGTGCCCGTTTTCCTTCTCTTTTCCACCTGCCTGAATTTATCCCCTTTTTCTGCTCTGCCATCCTAGTCCTTTTAGTACACAATCACATGGGTAGTTAAGTTTTAAGGATGGTAGAATTACAGTGCTCTGACTAAGATTCACCTGCCTGCGGTGGGAAATGCCACTGGTGACAAGCTCATCCCTCTTTCTCTCCTTCTCCCCTAAACTTTGGCCAAAGGAAAGGTTTGAACTCATTACTGCTAGCACAGGGTCAGATTCAAGGTCAGCCTATCCTCCCTCCCTCCCCACCCCACCAAACCCAGGCATGTTTTAACCTCTTCAGCGTGCATTGTGTTATTTTTGTGGTGGCAACAGAAAATGTCTCTTCAGCATTGGTAGTAAATGCTGTACAGCGGCAAGCAGGATCACTGCGGGTTGTTAGAACTGTGGCCTGAGCCACCACTGCAGGGGATATTGCTACATCTTTTCATTCTGTGGGATCATTGCTTTTACTGTCATTCCTGTGTCGCCTCGGAACGTTTCCTTCAAAGTTAGATGCTGCAGTTGGGATTTTTTTTCAACCTTGCCACTGCAAGAGATCTTTACTTTTTTTTCCTTTGAGTACAATATACAGGTAAATAGGATTAATATGCTGACTTGAAGCATGAGTTGGGGAGCGCATTTTGTTGTGTATCTTTTGGAAATGGATAAATCATGTCCTCTGTGTTGGACTTTGGCAATATTGTGGTTTGGCAGTCACTGGTTGTGTAAGTAGTGTAGCTGCTTCTCTTGTGATCACTGGGGCTTTCTTGGCATGAAGAAGCTTCTACAGAAGAGCTCTCAAAGCGTACGTGCTGTGACAGTTTAGCACATCCATGAGTACGATGCTTTTTTACTCCTTACATGCTTTGTGACTGCCTGTAGAAACAATTGATCCAAGCCTTTTGTTAAGGAAAAGTTAGCTTTGTAAAGAGTATGTAGACATAAATATCACCTACAAGGTAATTTTCTCTGTCTTCAGGAAGAGTCTCTTTTTTTTTTTTTTTTTTTACTAGGGAGTGAGGGAGAAGTGGGTCACAGGTTGCTTCAAGATTCAAAAGACAGCAATAGTTCATATATCACGTTTCCTTCCCTTTGCCTTCAGTGTTTTCTTTGCTGATCC